ATGGAGCATGAATTGTTTATTGATCGGATTTGGAATTGGAAATGGAATAGCAGAAACAAAACCCACCATGATGATGCAAATAAAATGAAAGATAGGTGAGAAAAGTAAGGAAAGCCCCAATTCGATATCGATAAATTCCTCTGGAGAAAATACAAGGAAAATCTAATAGAAATTGAAAAAAAGATTTTTGATATATTTCTCAATATAATGGTTTGAAATAAAAAAATTATAGACAACCTCTGTCATAATTCAATTTTTCATTCAGTTTATTTAGATTTTTCATATAAAAAAATATATTAATCACAAAATTAATCAAAAAAATAAAAAAAGCACAAAAATATAAAAATATGAATTTTCTCTTTCCTTTAACTAATATATCTTCATATTTCTTTCAGGTGCTACATGCAAAAAGAAGAAACTCAAGAAGAAAATGAAGAAAAGAAACTCGAGAAAGGACTCCATTGAAGGAATCAAAAGTTTAAGGGTGAAATTCATCAAATTTGCAAATCCAACACCAACCCATTCCAGTTGAGCCCATTATTCAAACCCAAAACTCAAAACCCAAAAAAACCCGAGCCCACCATTACCCAAAAATCACAAAAACAAAAAACCCAAGACCCAAACACAAAAAAAAAAAAAAAAAGAAAAAAGAAAAAAAAAATGAGGTTAAAATCTTTTTGCTCTCCAGAATCTTCTCTTCCAGAACCAGCTTCCTCCCCCCTTGCGTGCTGCACCCGAGCCTGCGCCCTGCTGCACCCTACTGCGCCCCCTGTTTGCACTGCTGTACCCCCCTACTTACTGCAATCGCCTGTGTCCTGCTTGTTGCGCCAATCCCGCGCCTCTGCACTCCTGCTTGCTACAGCCCTGTCCTTGCCTCACGTACAGAAAAAAAAAGCGCCAGACAAAATCGGCATCATCTTCGTCCTCTGCTTTTGCTGCAGAGATCAGTGATTGACGAAGAAGTTTTTATTTTATTTTATTTTATTTTATTATTTGGGTATCTATATAGGAAAAAATCAGATCAAATGGAGGGGTCTTTGGTTGATTTTCGAGTTTGATTTGGAAGTCTCCATCTACTTTGAGAGTAGTAGAGGGAGACTTCGAGGAGGAGAAAGGGGGATTTTTGCTTGATTGAGTGTGGTGTTGACGGTGGAGAAGAGGAAAGTGGGTTTTTTTTTACTGGAAGGAGACTGTTTGAGAAAGGAGATTGTCAAGTTGCAAGAGGGATTTCATGTTTGGTTCCCATTGTTAGGTATAGCTCTGAACGTAGGATTTTTTCATTACAATTTCACCCAAAGCTTTTATAATTAAGCGTTTAGTCTACGGGTCTCAACTCTTTTCAAATCAGTTCTCCATATTTTAAATGATACTGGACTAAAAAAGATAAAATTGTTAAATGTGTTTTTGGGCCTGCGAGGAGTAGATTGATGATGGAGTCAGGTCGACCATCGAGGAGCAATTCGCTACTTCACCGACGGCAAGGGCCAAGTCCTGAGCGACGAGCAACGCGCTAAGGAGACCGTCGTCTACATTAAGGTCTGTGATTTTCTGCAAAAAGACTTGGATGAAGCTTAAAATCACTGAGATCAGTGATATGGATTTCGATCATTCTGTTTCCTTTTATTTTAATGTCTACAGTTTCTTGCCATGGAGGTTGAGTTATTGCAAAAATAAATAATTAAATCTTTTAGGATAAGAAATAAAATTCAAATGTTTGGGTGTTTCAATCTTTCTCTCGTACTTTAATATGAATAATGATACGGAGGACGACTTTGAGAGACAAAATTGGACGGTAACTTACTTGCGTTATTACTTGGGTTATTTCTTTAGTTTACACGTATGTATGTCTATGTGGCAAGTGTGTTTGCATATGGCAAGTCAGGTAAGTCGTCATCCAATTTCGTCTCTTAAGAGTCGTCCTCGTATCATTATTCAGTGTTAAAATGTGCTGACATGAAGGTTGATTAAGATTGGTTTGAGGTGTTATCTGGTATCATGACTATAGTTTTGATCATGATCATGATTGTATTAAATTATATTATATTGTAATTGTAGTTAAATATTATTTTGGTATTTAATTATTATTTATCTTTTAAAAATATTATGGATAATATACTGTAAATTTTATTAATTATTATTTAAAATTTTAAAAATATTGTATGATTTATAATTATTAAAATAAATAATATTTACTATTTTTAAATAATTTAAGTTTTTTACGTTTGTTATAATGTGTGTTGTTTTGGATTTCACAAAATAACAACTCGAAAGGAGAGAATGAGTTTTTAAAGTTTTATGAAATTTTTAAATGAACAAGATATTAAATTTAAATAAAATATTATAAATTGTAATATAATTAAACTAAATGAAATTGTATTTTAATAAGTAATTTTATAATTATATTAAATATTAAATATAATTCGTAAAACCATAATAAAAAAGTTTAATAATAAAATTTTTGATTATATATATAATTATTATAAATTTATTGTGATTTTTTATAACTTAAAAAAATAATTAAAAAATTATTAAATATATATATCTAAAAATATTTTATGATTATTAAAAATAAAAACTCCCAAATATAGTGCTAAATACACCCTTAATACGTATAAAAAGAGTGTCTTGATTTAGAGGCACAACACTTTTTTCTGTTGTCAATGTAAGTATTATTTTAGCCATAGTCAGCGTCATATTGGTCAAAAGTAGGTGAAATCTCAGGAAAGACCGTGACCGCAAGAGCAGAAACAAGGCCCAGACTAGTGGTCAACAAGATATTTGGCCGTATCGTTCTTGGCATTATGGTCTTGCCTATGGTCACATTTCACCTTCCTGAGCGCTCAAGCGCCTCCATCTTTGACCGAAATTAAACCTCCATTTTAAGAAGAAAATGGAGTGACATTGCTTCAAGCCAAAAAAACAAAGAACAAAATGGAGGAAAAATGGGTTGGAGCAATTGTAATGTCTATTTTGGTAAGTAGGTGGTATTGTACTTCTTATTATGGGTGTTCGAAGGGAGAAAGAATTGCCCTCTTAAACCTCAAGCATTCAATCTCTGCCTCATATGTTAATGTTCTAACATATTGGGGAGGGCATGGTGATTGTTGTTAGTGGGTTGGGATTGAATGCAACATCACAACAAAGAGAGTGAAGCTCTTTTTGAATAATGCTAGGGGCTAGGCCTTTGAGGATTGATATCTAAATTATTCTCTGTTTTCACACTTCAAAGAGTTGAAGAGTCTTTTCGTGAGAGAAAATAGCATTTTAGGTTTCATGAAAAATAAAGGTCATTCTTTTCTTAATTTCTACTTGAGCAACATTTTTAGTTCCTCATTTTGTGGAATATATGGTACTAGAATTTCAAATTTTGCAACACAACTAACTACATTAAATTCTTACGTATGTCTGGAGGTTGTCAAGCTTAAGCAATTTGGAGGTTCTTGATTTGAGTTTTAACTAATTAAACAATAGCATCCTATCATCTTTGGCAAGTCTTTCATCATTAAAAGTGCTAAATCTAATAGTCAATCAAATCGAAGGAAGTCTCTATATTCCAAGTAGTCTTTTAGGTAACATAACCAATTACTTTGATTGGCTTTAAGAAATGAGGTATGATATCCAATTTTAACATCATTATGTTTCTTGAGGGACTTGGAGCTACTCATTACTTGTAAACACACAAATAATGCTTATTTCTCATAAACTGTATGTGCAGGTGTTAAAAGACCACTAGGGCTAAGTAATTTGGAAGTACTTGATCTGGCTAGTAATTCTTTCAATAACATGAATTTATCTTCCCTATGAGGGCTTCCATCTCTCAACATTCTTAACTTGAGTGGCAGCAAATTAAAAGGAATAGTCTTCATCAATCATTTTATATCCTTCTAATGAAAACTTGTTTCCTTTCCCTCATTGTAATTTAACTCATTTCATTTTGTCTCTGCAATTGCCAAATTAGTTGCTTTAAAATGAGTTGAAGGAGTTGGATTTAACCTACAATAATGTGGAAGTTTGTGACTCGCAAAGGTACTAATGGAAGCAAAAAGTATGGTCATGATGAGGCCTTGTCATTCTATTCCATTCATCAACAAATACCCTAAAAGAATTAGAAAATTTGATCCATTAGTTTGATACTCATAATTTTTTTTTTTATGAAACAATAAATCTTGTTATAGGTGTTAAAAGACCACTAGGGCTAAGTAATTTAGCAGTGCTTGATCTAGCTAGTAATTCTTTCAATAACATGAACTTATCTTTCCTAAGAGGGTTTTCATCTCTTAAGAGTCTTGAATTGACTGAAAACAAATTAAAAGGAATACTAAATATTAAAAGTAGATCAATTGTTTCACTTGTTTTTTGTTTTCATCTGTCATTGAATATCCTTCTAATCTAATGCTACTTCTTTTCCCTCATTTTTTTTTTTGAAACTTTCTTTTCCCTCATTTTTGTTTAACTGTTTGTATTTTGTCTCCACCAGAATTAGTTGCTCTAAACAATTTGAAGGAGCTAGATTTAAGCTCTAATGAAGGGGAAAGTTTCGTGGCTCCCAAAGGTAGTATGATCAAAATAGAAAGTTTGGTTATAATGAGGCCTAGTCATTTTATTCCTTTCATCAATAAATCCCTAGAAGAATTAGAACACTTAACCCATTGGTTTCATACTCATAAAATTTTTTATTGAACTGCAATTTACTTATATATCAATAGAGAAAAATTTAGCTCAAGCTCAAACAAAACTTTTTAAACCATGTTTGCATTGGCTACTATGGAGCATATGTCTTTTTTAAAGATCATGTGTTTGCTAGAAAATCACATCTTTGTAGCTTTAAAGCTTATCTTGATTCCCTCTTTTGCTTGTAGATATATCTTCTCTTCACAATAATTTTCTTCAAAGTATTAGAAAGCTAAACTCTCTTAAAGTTTTGTCTTTGTCCAATTGTGGGCTTAATGGAACTCCACCCAATCAAGGTAAAACATATAATTTTCTCGCTAATAAAAAAAAAAAAATCTTTTATAAGAAATTTAAAATTATAATTTGATGTAACAATTGCTCATTTCTTTGTTTCTTATTTTTTGTGTTAGTAATTTCTTTTTTTTTTTTTCCTTCCTTGATAATTGATATTTACAGGATGGTGTGAATTGAAGAACCTTAAAGAGTTAGATTTAACTACAAATAATTTTTGACGAATGCTTCCCTCTTGTTTTGGAAACTTGTCATATCTCTGGGTGTAGGATATATTGATTAACCATTTCACAAGAAATGTTGCCACCAACCCTCATACCAATTTGAAATCACTTGAATATCTCTTGTTCTCAAGTAACAACTTTCAAGTCCCAGTTACCTTTAGGATGTTTTCCAACAACTCCAAGCTTAAGGTTCTTCTTAGCAATGACAACAATTTAATCCCAGAACCTCTCCTTCAAACTCCAACCTCAAACTTCCAACTCATAATTTTGAGTTTGTCTTACCTTGCATTAAAAGAACCTCCTTATTTCCTCTATCACCAAAATGACCTCAAGGTTGTTGATCTCTCCCATAACAACATCACTAGGGGATTCCCATCTTGGTTGTTCATGAACAATACAAGATTAACATTTATTTGAAGAAAGGGAAGAACTAGGAGCTAATAGCTCTAATATCATGTTAGAAACAACAAAGAAGAAGAAATATTTGAAAAAAAGTTAACATCCTTAAATAGAAAAAAGTGCAAAGTTGGCATTCTTATTTTCACATTTTCTCCTAAAATTTGCCATAACTTTCTAAGACCAAGCAATGAGGTCTAGAATTTTAATGGATTTTGAATTTAGTCCTTCATGTTTTAAATTTATCTAGGTTAGTCCCTTAATTTTTAATTCATTGCAATTAAATATGTATTTTCTCACTTGCTCAATTGAGTCGTAAAGTTTTCAAGCATTTCAATTGTATCCATTTAGTTTTCCAATTCACTTAATCAAAACCAATAATAATAATAATAATAATAACAATAATAATATTAAACAAGTTGAATTAAACCAATAAACAAAAAGTATACAACTATATATTTATGTGTACAACTATATGTTGGTATAGAGGATAGTGGGAATACATATGTTTTTCCTTACTCTTAATTGCACCCTCGAACCCAATCTTCGTATGAACCATATTGTTAGTATTGAATTAGAAAGAGCAAATTGGGAGGAGAAGCATATCTTTGACATGATTTTGAGGAGATTTGGTCCTTTGCATGGAGAAAGAATTAAGGCTGAAGTACTGAAGAACG